CCCGCAACTCATTCTTACACTTCACCATGAATGCGGAAGGTTATACTTTCCCCACTACTCGGAACATTCTGACCAGCAAAATAACCCCCTATATCTACTGACCACATTCTTCACAGGGAAAGTCCAGCACAGCATGGCTTTCTCAGAATGGAGCCCAGTGCTTTACGCTGACGTTTGCACGACGTTCGTTAGGAAGCCTTCAGACAACCAAGCCTATCCAGAAAATCCCGTTTGCCGCTGTTCCTCCTACCGTTGTGCCCCCTCCGTTCAAGGTGTCAACTTGTACACACAACAACGTGATAGTTTCTCAAATAACTTTTTTTCAGTGACGGGAATAAAAATAACAAACAGCAAATAGAGTATTCATTGCCGTGTACCGTACTGACATTGAATAGGCTATTCAAGATTCTCTGAGTTATTTTGCATTTCGTCATTGTCATTTGGAGCCAAACGAACTATAAATGTTGCCACGCTATAACACTGGTCACCCCAACAGATACTGATCACCGTTAAGTGTATCATCCTTGCATACGTCTTGCCAGCGTGTGAATTAATTTTGAAACAGCACAAGACAGCCGGGATAGCGAGATAAACCTTTACAACCAATTCTAAATTTGAGTAGCCATTGATGATGATTCTTTTCCCTACCACGTATAAGGAGACATCCCGGGGCAGAGAGAACGTTGTATATTTCACGCAGGTGTTCGCCAGCATGGTCATGTTGTCATGGTTACGAATTTAACCAATCGGTGCTCACTTCCGCTGCACGAGTTTTTAATGCGCCTTAATTCCAGACTCCACGAATGGAAACAGACGTACATTTTTAACAACTGTAGCGGTGCATGTCAAATAAAATGTAACAAACCGATGAGAATTTATTTAGACTCGAGATAAACATTAGTTTAGACACTATATATACACCTTGAAATTAACGGAGCACCCACTGTACTTTCGACCATGTATTGTGCGGGCCCAGTCGTCTAGGGCGCCGCGATTCGCTGTGCAGAGTTGCGTCCCTTGGGCACGCCAGAAACCTATGATTGTGGGTTCGAATCCCGGTTCGCCCCGATTATGTTTCTAGGTTTGTCAGCACCATCTCCGTGCTCGTGGGTTTCACCTAGTGGTAAACGTCTGAGACCTGCATCACTTCGGGCTTTCCTCCCACATTAAGCTGATACGCAGCGATGTAAATGGAATAACGTTAAAAGCGGCGTTAAACCCAACTCACTCACTCCTGAGAACGATTTGTGTTTTTTACGTCAACATATCTTTCAGTTTTGAATGAGGATTGTTTTTATTTAGAAAATATATGTTATAATGAGCAATATTATCCTCAACTTCTGTTGCAAAGATGATGATGTCGAATTTCAATGCATACTTTGCTCAATTTGACTGGTTACCTGACCTTTAAATTACACAGAATTGATAGATATCATTCCAGAATACAGTAAAGTATATATTTGAAGTCATTTGTTAGAAATAGTAAACATTACATATCTATGAGCCCAATTGTGTTCATTTAACCTGCGGGGGCAAGGGTGGCCTAGTCGTCTGGGGCGCCGCGATTCGCTGTGCAGAGTTGTGTCCCTTGGACACGCCAGAAATCTATGATTGATTGAATCCCGGTTCGCCCCAATTGTTTCTAGGTTTGCCAGCACCATACCCGCGCTCGTGGGTTTCACCGAAGTGGTAAACATCTGAGATCTGCATCACTCCTCCCACATTAAGCTGACACGCCGTGATATAACTGGAATACTGTTAAAAGCGGCGTTAAACCAAACTCACTCACTCATTTAACCTGCATGTATGTCATGATAATAGCCGCCATTATGTTATCCATTCCAAATGGGGGGTGTAATTCAGTTCTGCCGTTCAGCGATTCCATACCGTAGGAGGTTGGTTGGTTTGTTGTTTAACGCCGCACTCAGCAATATTCCAGCTATATGACGGTGGTCTGTAAATAATCGAGTCTGGACCAGACAATCCAGTGATTGATATCATGAGCATCGATCAACGCAATTGGGATCGATGATATGCATCAACCAAGTCAGCGAGACTGACCACCCGATCCCGTTAGTCGCCTTTTACGACAAGCATAGTCACCTTTTACGGCAAGCATGGGTTGCTGAAGACCTATTCTACCCCGGAATCTTCACTGGTCCCATACCGTAGAAACGCTTCATAGTGGCGACAGATTGATTTTAATTATGTGGAATGCACATGTACACGAAAGTTACAGTTGCACACTGAACACAAAAAAAACCCCCAAAACAGCAAACACCCTCCAATAAAATAATCGTCTGATATTTTTTTATTTTATGGAAAAATAAATATACGGCGATGTAAACATATTTTCCTTGTAACAATTTCCCTTAGATTGACAGCAAGGAGAAGTATTTTCCCAGAGCTTTGATTGAGTTTGAATGCTACTGAATACACTTCGTCACAGTTCGTGACTTTCCGCAAACCCTTTACGGTCATTGCCTGGTTAGTACATACATGTCCCATGAATCACCGCCATGATTAGAACTCGTCCACATCCCTTTGTAATGTGCTTCTATTTCCTTGTAATAATTGGATGTTGTGGCTACACATGCTATAGGTCCTGTGGTGTATTTCAACGTAAGCCGCGCCCTCGCTATGGTTCAAGTACTCTTACGCATCATCGTAAGGAAACTAGGTCTATTTTCGAATTTCAAACGAATGAGACTGTTTGTCATCATCATCACCCCAACAAGATATCATCATCACCATCCGCGGATGGAAGAGTTGTCCCGACTGCGGTGTAAAACAACATTCACACTGCATTCAAATAACATTTCAGCAGCAAGAAAGAAGAATTAAGGCCTTATTAAAACGTTGAGTAATTTTAGTATTCGTCCATATTATGAATTTATTATTCTTATAAAGATTTCATGTTTTCATTATCGTCAAAGAACAGTTAATCCACGCCAATTTACTTCATATAGTAGTTTCAATTTTTTCCTAGTAAATAAATATTTTAAAACTATCTTATTTTAGTCGTACTGAAGTTGACAATATCCCAAGTAGGGATCGACACAACAGGCGAGAGTTCTCTATTAACTGAATTAACAAACTTCAGTTTTAGCTGAAAAAATGCATCCTCTTTATTAATAGCCACTCGAATAAGGCTCGGATGCAGGGGAGCGCACTTCAACTTCACCCCTTTTTTTCTTTCTTTAGCACCCTAAACATTTATACATTTGGAAGTTAATAGCTATAGGTGTGTATACTAATTTTAACGCATTTCAACACCATAACAAAAACTAACAAATGCACAAATTGTTTTGGAGATTTACCTTCAACCAGCACTATACTGTCAGTTACTTCCATGACAACAAATTGCACCTTTTTTCAAAAGGCGTACCTGTGCATAATCGCCATTTTTTAAAACTATCGATCTTAAGTGTAAATAACATAAACAGGCAGGGTTCGAAATTAACACAAGTACGCTAGTCTGTAACATCTCTGTAACTTATCTCGGTCTGGTGATATATAGATGAGGACAATAACATGGCGGCAAAGTGAGAAAACCCCTTGGTTCCTTTTCTAAATTGATACCACTTTCGCCACACGGTAGATCTATGGCAACTGTGTACATCCTTTCTGAGGAATAGAGGGGGGCACGGGTGGCCCAGTCGTCTAAGGCGCCGCGATTCGCTGTGCAGAGTTGTGTCCCTTGGGCACGCCAGAAACCTATGATTGTGGGTTCGAATCCCGGTTCGCCCCGATTATGTTTCTAGGTTTGTCAGCACCATACCCGTGCTCGTGGGTTTCACCGAAGTGGTAAACGTCTGAGACCTGCATCACTTCGGGCTTTCCTCCCACATTAAGCTGACACGCCGCGATATAACTGGAATACTGTTAAAAGCGGCGTTAAACCAAACTCACTCACTCTGAGGAATAGTGATCCTGTTTCAGTAAATTACAGCAATTTAATGTTAATGTTATTTTAAAAATATAATTTAAGAAAGGTGTGTTTATATATGTTTCTCAAACACTAACATCTGACGCTCCCACCTCATTAACGGTAACCAATGTCTAATGATCGTGTACTAAATATCTGTAGTCTATGCCCTCCTGTGCTTGGCAGTGATGCCACGAGATGGCAGCTAAACGGGTATCTTTTGTCAACTGTTTACTTCCTTATATGGTTAAAACAAACAGCAAGGGTTATCTAATTTGAAGGACATGCGTCATTATTTGTAGCACGATTTGTGACATTCGTTACTAAAAATACGGTAATATCTGTCCAATTTAAGGTTTGAGTCAAAGTGTGTTGATATCGATGAATAGCGTGACCCTTGGCAAATTTCACAATGCTACTATCTTGTCGACTTGTGTTGTATTGTGTTGTGGTTACAGTACTTCATTCGACGTAGCGTTATTTACCTTATCGTTTGCTGAAAAAGCACCTAGTGCTAATTGGCTTGGTGTGTTGTGAAGTAGTTAGCTCTTATTGACACCTAGTAACATTTAAATGATAACTGTATAATATGCTGAATTAATAGGCGGTGACATATGAAAAGAAAAGACATGAGAACAACTACAATGCTACTACTTAAATGCGTATGAATAACATTCCAGATAATCGTAGCCTTCCACGTTGCATATTAACTGTGATTACTTGAAATTGTTCAAGTTTTGCAGTGAATAATTTTACAGTTGCTGGCTGTGTTATAGCATTATAGCCATACAATGATACCCTATATTAATCACCCAAAACAAAAACAAAACAATTTAATCAGTATGATCTGAAGCATGTTTTTTTTAGATATTTGTTGGAAGTAATATCATTGTATCAACGTTACTTAAAGTTATTATATGAAATATAAGTTGATCGAGTCTATTTCTATCTGTTGAAGTAAAAGTTCGACTGAAGTTGTTTATCAAAAGAGTTCATATTAGTTGAAAAGTTGTCCGGAAAATAGTACACAGTTTGACCTATAAATTTATTCGCTGCTCGCTTACGTTCACGATCATTTTAATGTGTCGTTTTCGGAGATTCATCAGCTCGGGAGAGATTCTACCAACACCTATCATACGTCATTATTTACAAACAATGTGAATAGTATCTCTGTATGTGGAAAGAAACAGTATTTATATAAATTATTCTGATGTCGCTTACATCATAGAGGGTCGTCGTATTTCCGCCATGCCGAATATATAAATTTTTAGTCTAATATCCCACTAAAAAACTGTCAAAATGTCGGGAAACGTGGGTATGGAAAATTTAATTCCTATTGTGAACAAACTGCAGGATGCGTTTGCTTTACTAGGAGTCCCAATTTCCCTGGATTTGCCACAGATCGCCGTCGTTGGAAGTCAAAGTGCAGGAAAATCAAGTGTGCTTGAAAATTTTGTTGGCAGGTAAGAACTGTCACTTCCGTCTTCAAATTGTTATGTATTTGATAAAATTGTATTGTTATTTGCTTTGTCAGTTTTAGTAGCTGTTAATTGTTCTCCGACTAGCCATATTAGCCCAATGTCTACAGTTCATTTTTATTTACATCAACTCTAGCATATCAAATGTCGATCTAAACGAAGGGGCGTCTCCTTTGAAATCGATGTCGCAAGCCTTCAAAGGCGAGAATATACTTTTAGAGTCGGGTACTATTTCAAGTTTGTAGTGAAATATCTTTTTTCAGCGCTTTATTATTTAAATAACTCTGATTCCGTTAAAAGAAAACAAGTTTTATCAGCTGTTAATGTTGCTGTTCATTTTGAAAAGCTGTTGCTTGCCATGACTTTTGACATTGAACATTGTGAAGCTGTGACACGTATCAAACTGATGCCTTTAATGCTTGTGAATTTTTAGAGGCAAATGCCTTCAGGACATTTAAATGATGTCATCAATTTTTGGCATTCTTCGATATCAACATAAAATTTTAAAAGTGTCTTCAGGAATATTTTTTATGACAATCAGTCAACGACTGAAAATTAACCAGGGTTAGAAACTAACAGTTTTCGTCCACGAGTCCTTATAATGATAACATATAGCAAAACCCTTAAAAATGGCAATTTCTACTAGTCCTTATGATACCTTTACCATTGGGCAGTTTGGCAAGGACTATAGGACTAGTGCCAATTTCTAACGCTGATGAACAGATGAACCAATTTGACAATGTGAATACAGGTTTACCTTTTCATTTTTTCTGTATAAAAAGTATAAATCTACATGCCGGGTTAGACATAAATTTAAATATATTTTTTCACTAATATGAGAAAAACAATCTGACACAGAGTTGCCATTTACGAAATTGACCACTTGTCCTCTATTGAATTTTATTTGTCTCACACAAGCACACTTATGTTAAGTTTGACCATTGCAGGCCACAAGGTCAGGATGATACGACAGTGAATGTCAAATGTTTTCTGATACACTGTCATGATCATAGATCACATATGATATCCATGGAGTTGAAATGTTGCCCTGTTGTTCATGATTTTCATTATGCTTTTGGCATCATGATACAGTTTTCATATATAGTGGTGTAACAATACGGTTTGTATCCCGATACGAGGCCCATAATCCAATACATCGATTTACAACCCCTGTATTGCAATACATACGATACATTACATCACAGGTTATGTTGACATAAACACATGAATAATAACAGCAGTATTTTGTCAAGGATTCCAAACTTTGTGCCCTTGGAAAAGAATCGGGAAAGAATTGTTATTTTGTTCAGAAACGTGATTTTAATTAAAGTTCTTATTTTTCTAAATTCAAGGGTATTTTAACATACATTCTTAACATATTTGCAAGCATTGTAATAATGTTAAACTTAATACACCCCTGAACAGATTTAAAATGCTAAATGAAAATGTTCAACAAAAAGCTTACCCAGATCCTCTAATTTTATGGCTGACTTAAAATAGCATAATGTTCAAAGTGCCTCTAGCCTATATGTGTCTTCCCGATAATCATGATAATATCCCATCTTCCATCTCTGAAAATTAACATGATTAAGGGTGGGCATGGGTGAACCAGTTTTCTGAGGTGCTGCAAGTGGTTTTGAAGAGTTGCGTCCCTTGGGCAAAACAGAGATGAACGTAGGTTCGAATCCAGGTTCACACTGATTATGTTTCTAGATTTCTCAGAACCATTCTCGTGCTCGAGGGTTTCCCCAAAGTTGCAAATATCTAGGCAGCGTTAGAAATTTGCACTAGTCCTGTAGTTCTTACCAAACAGCCAAATAGTTCAGGTATCATAAGGACCAGTAGAAATTTGCGACTTTTAAGGGTTTTGCTATATGTTAACATTAGGACTAGTGGACTTAAAATGTTAGTTTCTACAGCTGCTAGGACTCGCATCACTTCAGGCTTTCCTCAATGTCTAATCAGATTGCAGTCTCTATGAGATATATTCAACAGACATGCTAGACTGCATTTGTCTTGTAAATTATCACATACAAATTCTGTCAACAATGTACAGCTGCAGGGCTCGATTTAAGAAACTTGCTTTAACTTGCCCCAGGTGCATGTTGACATGAAAATCAAATTGCACAAGACAAAACCAGGTTACACAAGACAAAACCAGGTTGCACAAGACAAAACCAGATTGCACAAGACCAAACCAGATTGCACAACACAAAACCAGATTGCACAAGACAAAACCAGGTTGCACAAGGCAAAACCAGATTGCACAAGACAAAACCAGATTGCACAAGACAAAACCAGGTTGCACCCTGGTCCCATATATTTATCAGCAGATCCCCGATGACTGTATCCTGATTTTACATACATTATTGACGTATTGCTGTATTATGTAATAGGAACATGTGCATACAACAGAGCTCCAGATAACTTTTTGAGCAATTGAGTTTTTACTCCAGGGTTTCTATTAAAATTGGGTTATTACATTTTTCATTGGGTAACCAATATTTTTTCACTCATCTATTCATCACTCTATTGTTTTTTTCCCAAAATTAGTGAACATTTTAGATTAAAAGAAATGATATAATGTTTCAGATGCATATAACTGTTCTAAATATATAGGCTTGACTTGGAAAGTAAATTAGCTCGTAATTGGGTTTCGGAAATTAGCTCCTTTGTTTGCATGCTGAAAAAGCTTCATTGGGTATTTACACGTGCTGTTTTATACATTTGAGTTTTTCATTTAATGCATGCGTTTCTGTACGCAAGTTAAACGAAAGTAATTGGGTTTTGAATATTTTAGGGGGGTATTTTACGCAGATACGCTGCTTATCTGTAGCTCTGATATAATCTTGAAGTACCCGAAGTTTGATGACATCCAGCCCAGGAAAGCATGACAAAGTACACAACACGGGGATTAATGAATTACTGTGGTACATAAAGCTAAGAGGTATTGAGATCAATGTTGTGTGGAAAAGAAAAGGTTGTTGGACTCAAATTTGAGTTTTTTGCATGCACTTGGTGCTTGTAGACATAAATACGATGAATATTATGTTGCTCTAGTGCATGTTTTACATGGCTAAATCGAGTCCTGAACGATTAAGAATTAGTCCTGCTCAGTCAGATTTGTTTACAATGTTGTTTCATTACTTGAGCTTCACACTGAATGCTGCTTGTGTGATGACAGCATGATTGACAGCTATCAACACAGTGTGACTGGTGCTACCTGTTGATAACCTTGATAACAAGCTTGCTGGACACCTCAGTGCTTGAAATGTACATCCTTCGTGTCAGAAGATGGATCAGGAGCACGATAACGAGATATTAGCATGATGAGCTGGAAAACCAATCCCACAACCACATGCTTAAGATAATATATATATATGTGACGCATGTAAGTGATGTCAGTATTTTTATCATCTTTGGAGGCAGGACAAATTTATTTCCTTTTGTAAAAATCTTTCATAACTGAAGTTGTTGATGTCTAAAATCATTATATCATATTCGACGTGATAAACGCCCCGCTCTAATAAGCGCCCATGGCGATATTTGCTAATATATTGGCTAGTGAACAGTCCCAATCAGCACCCCTTCAGATTGATCAATGTACACAAGACTTAATTATTCGTGTATAATCATGATAATACACACTTGTGTGTTATATGCACCCACGAATTATGGGCAATTAAATTCTGAAAAAATATATCTGTTGTATGTCAACATTTCAGGCTGTCAGCTTAAACCACGAAATTTACGATCTTTCAGCTCTGTTTTTTTCACCAAAATAATATTCTAATAAGAACCCCCTATTTCTATTTTTGAGAGCGCCCAGGGCGCTTATTACGTCGAATATGGTAAATGTTCTTGTTATTATCAAGGGGCAGTCTGTAAGTTTAGTCTGAAGAATGAGTCTAACAATATTCTGTTGGCCAAGTAAGCTCAGGCAATAGTAGTCAATGTAATCACAGAAACATCTTCTGACAAGGATGCTAAGAACCAAGTTTGGGAAAGTCATAAACGGGTCACTTCACATAAAGACATCCTCATTAATTGGCAGCTGTAGTTGTGGACATAACAAAGGGAATATTTACATTGTATCAGGGACAGGTTGATCATTGTTTTATCACCTCTTTAAGGTGAAAACATGAAACTTTTTATGGATAACAACTTCTATATTCTTTGTAACGATGTTTGAAGGCTAACACTTGCCCTTTCATAAAGTGTTGACTTGGTGCTTTCATGGTGAATCAAATTCAAGAGACCGCCTCCGTGGTCTAATGGTAGAGCGTCCGCCCGGAGAGCGGAAGGTCTGCGGTTCGATCCCCGGCCACGTCATACCAAAAGACGTTAAAATATGGTACTTGTTGTTACCCTGTCTGGCGCTCGGCATTAAGGGGCTAAAACAAGGAAAGGGTCGGCTCGGAGTCAGTATACTGTGTCTGAGTGGGGTATGTATTTGTTCCTAAGTCATGACAACATGTACATGGAGTGTCAAGTAATACAACAACAGCCACAGGTCTCTCATATCTCTTGCAAACATCTTGAATTTGTGGGTGAGGTGAGGTGAAATGGGGTTTAACGTCGCGTCCAAGATTATTGCACTTATATAGCGACGTGCATGTATGTGTGTGTGTGTTTGTGTGGCTGTTGTTCTAGTCCGGACTGATGCCGATTTATAGTGCTAGCACACTGAGATACCATGCCGCAGTTTAACATGAATACCCCACTCAGACACAGTATACTGACTCCGAGCCGACCAGTCCTTGTTTTAGCCCCTTCATGCCGAGCGCCAGACAGGGTAACAAGTACCTTCTTTTATCATCTTTTGGTATGACGCGGCCTGGGATCGAACCCCGGAACTTCCGCTCTCCGGGCTTTCGGTTCATTGAGGTATGAATCGAAAAACAGATGTGCAAACTGTATGTATCCGCTTAGCACATGCGTTTTTTTTATTCATACCGCAATGAACCGAAAAAAATGCACAGTCA